AAAAAAAAAAAAGAAAAAAAAAAGAAAAACAGAAAGAAAAAAAAAGAAAAAGGTGTTTTCTGCGCTCATTCTTGTCTTTTGGGATGAATCCCGCACCGGGACCACCCCCCCGCCTGGCCCGAATTCTTCCGCAGGAGGTCAGCAGGGCAGTGCGGGGAGCGGAGGGTCCGTGGGGCAGCAGGCAAGGGGAGGACAGTCAGCTTGCAAGGGGGTCCGGGGGCGTTTTGGGGAGGGCGGGGGCATCAAGCCAAATGCCCCCCGCTTTCCCTTTCGGGTCTCCGGCTCCCGGAGCTGGTTGTCTTGTGTCATTTGTTACCGCCAGGAGAGAGGGGATACCACCCCCCACCCTACCCCCCCCTTTAAATTCCTGCTATTGTGGAGTGCAGACCGGGTTGGACCTGGGTATTTAGATGACATCACCGAGCAGGTTGGGTTATAAAATGAATGAAGCAGAAAGCAGCCCAAGTTCACTAGCTCGGCACTTCGCAGGCGGCAGGAGGGACCGCGGCGCTCCGCTCTGAACTTTGACTTCCCGGTCGGTCCCGTCCTCTCCCCGGGGCTGCCCTCGGCTCCCCGCTGCCCCCCCGAGCCCCCTCCCGCTCGGCCCCGCAGGATGCAGATCTCACCCTTACTGGCTGGTGGACTTTTACTCGCGCTGCTCTCCGTCAGGCTGGAGGCGAAGCCGGCGTCTCAGCTCCCACAGAAGGTACGGCTGGAGCTTTCTCCGGCTCTTCCTCCTCTCCCGGTCCCGCTCAGAGTCCTAGCGGCACAGGGGGAGACGTGGGGTGACTGTGGGGTGCCAGATTCAGTGCAAAGAGGGGTTCTTCTCTCAGCACGGGCTGTTTGACTGCAAGGGGGACTCCCTGCTTCTCCAGGCTGTCCCGAACGTGCGGGGACATCAGCCCCGACCCAAAGGCTGGAGAGGGACGCGGTGTGCCCCGTAGCCTGCGGGATCGGGGCAGGGGAGGGCGGCAGTCTGCTCCCCGGAGGCACCCTGGGGACCCCTCTGTGCCGGGCACGGGGGAGGGGGAGCAGAGCCGGAGCGGGGCAGCAGCAGGTGCACAGTGGGACAGGGGGCGAGAGTAGAGCCCGCCGGGCAGCCCTGGCCACGCAGGCCGGGCAGGGGCACAGAGGTGTGTGCCCCTTCCCCGCGTGTCCCATGGGGAACGGGCGCCCCAAATGAGAGTGTTGGTTGTTCCGAGATGCTGAGGAGGGATGTGCCCGAGGCCACCGTCACTGGGTGGCACTGCCCCAAGATCTGGGCTCAGAGATGGGGACACGGTCTGAGGAGTGCCCCAGGACAGCAGTGGGATAAGAGTGATAGTGTCCCTGTAAGGCACTGGGGTGGGGGCTGAAGAAAAAGTGTTGATACAGGGGGATGTTGGGAAAATGAATGAGGATTAACATTTCCAGGGCTTGGTGGGCAGCAGCTCTGAGCAGGGAGAGAGGTGGAAGGCCTGAGAGATGGGGGGACAGTAAGGAAGGAGGTGTGTCCCTCTAATTGTGGGTCAGAATTGGAGGATTGGGAGGACACAGAAAGCATTAACTAGGGGAGAGAGCAGCAGGGAGGAGGAGCCCTGATCTCTCCACCACTGCTAGGGACACTCTGCAAGGCAGGGTGCAGGGGGAGCTGTGGGGCAGGACCCCTCCCCATAATCTGAAGAGGTCTGTAAACTGGTGAGGGATCCAGTAACCAAAATGGTCTGAAAGGAAAGGACCTACCAGCTTTCAGGCCCCTTCAGATTATAGGTCAGGGGAGGACGGGACGGGATGGGACGACAGGATGGTGACCGCAGCACAGCTGAGGGATGCAGCACCACCAGCCCTTTGGAGGGTCGGTGTGGATATGCAGTGACCGGGGCAGGAAGATACCGCTATGGTGTGGGTCAGGGGGATGCTCTTACCCCAGAGAAGGGAGCACAGATTTAGGGAGGGGAGAAGATGCCCTGGGCACAGCCGCGGGGTGATGGACTGCACTGCCGGGCACAGACCCAATCGCGAGTTTGCATCGCAGAGGGGACACACCGACCCCTCTGCGCGCCCCTTACGGGGGGTCCCCAACACTGATGGGGATCGCTGGGGACGGCGGCGCCCTGACCCTCTCCTCCCCACAGGCCTCCCGCGGGTCGGCAGCGGCGGCGGCAGCGGCGGCGGCAGCGGGTCCGCCCGAGGCGGCGGAGCGGGAGAAGGAGCGGGAGAAGGAGCGGAGCAGCGGCGGCGGCGGCGGCTCGGGCCCGCGGGAGGCGCGGGAGGCGCGGACCGAGGCGCGGCCGCGGGCGGGCTGGGCGCGGCTGCTGCAGGACCCGCCGGGCCGCCGCCACAAGGGCCTCCACAAGAAGGGCCTGGGCAAGGGCTGCTTCGGGCTCAAGCTGGATCGCATCGGCGCCATGAGCGGCCTCGGATGCTGAGGGACCCCTGGCGGTGAGTGCGCGGCCGGGATGGGGCCGGCATGGGGCCGGGGGGCCGCGTTCCGGTACCACGGGGGATGCGGAAGATGCACTGCCTTGCGAACGCGAGATGCCAGCGGACGGGGCTGCAGGTGTTCATCCCGCTGAGCCTCGCAACCTCCGGCTTTGCTAGCGGGCAAAGAGGAGGACCCCAACGTTGGCCCAAAGAAGGGTCAAGAAACCCCAGCTGCTCCCGCAGCAGCTTAAACTGGATTCTCCCTAATTTGTGCTAGACCCGTAGGCTCTGGGGAGGAAGCAGGAGGAGCTCTGATGCAGCCACTTTTTCCCAGTTGCTCCCTGTGCTTGACACACTTAGGTGACCTATGGATAGGTGTTAGGAGGGCAGGGTACCCCCTGTGTGCCTGCAGTTGGAGAGTTAGTGAGGCTCCTGTCTCACATGCTCCAGTGCTTTCAATTTAAGGAAAAACAATACACAAGTTTCCCAGGTGTTTTCTAGGTGTGGTGACAGCCTTGAGTAGCACTTTCCTAACTGCAGCCTCGTATCCAAGCAAGTTATGGGAAACTGGGAGTTCTTTCCACGGTGCTTCACAGCCACTGTGTAGCAACCAATGGGCAAAGGAGTGTCACTTCACCAAAGTGATAGTTTGGGAAAAACATGGCAGTGCCTCCCCTGCCAGGTCTGCCTGCAGGTGCTGGGGACAGTGAGGCACCGTTCTGGCCTGGCCCTGCCAGCAGGACACACACAGATGAACTCACACTTCAGGAAGAACTCACCATTGCAGCCCAGGCCACTTCTTCCCATGGCACAGCACTGCTCCATTCAAAGGGACGTGCCCAGCCCTGCAGTGACATAACTGGGCACAGAGGAGACTGGATCTAGCATCCTGCTGCTCTGCAGAGAGATGGGAATAGCACAGCCCAAAGATGCCTACAGGATGCCAGTGCTGGTCTATGGCCTGTCCTGGAGGGATGGGTGCTGTTTCTCTCCTCCCTCATTTAGATACTCCTCAATATTACCAAGTATTGCCAGCTCAGGGCTCCAAGAGGAACAACATACCCCATGCAGGCAGGTCACCCATCCTCTCTCACTCAACCCATCAGAACAAGAAAAAAAACTCCAATAGATACAAGGGCAGGAGGAGCAGAAGCTTCCCTCAGCCTCTCCGCTGAACACCAGCCAGAAAGCAAAGGGTGCACTTCCCTCCTTGCTTCAGCACAACCAAAAAGCTCAGGAATGGCTTCTGCTGAATCCAGCATCCCCCAGCCTCATGCCATGGTTACTTCAGGAGGGGTTTTGGCTGGGGATGGGTAAGGGGTGCTGCATGGCAAGTACTAATGGGCACTTTGCTCTTGTTTCTCACAGGGCTTTGAATCCGTAGTCCACTTTTTCCTACAACACACGGCCAGGCACGGCCATCCCCCAGGCAACAGCTAGAGAAGCAGAGACCCCCTTGGAACGGCAAAAGATGCGGCTGTGTTTTTCTTTTTTGGTACGAGGAGTCATGGCACCAACTGTTTTGGTTTTGTTATTTTTTTAACAAGTGCTCTCTATCTTATATATATTATATATACAAACACTCACCGAGACAAGGGACAGTGCTTTTCCAAGAGACTGATGAATCCAGCTGTATAACGTTGCTGTTTGTAAATTCATGTCATGCATAAATGTATTTATGTTGTAAAGCTATTTATATATTGTTTATAAAGAGATATTTATAAAAAAATTATTTATGTAACTAAATGAAAAGTCAAGCATTGTAACATTTTTTGTCCTAAGTAGTTGAAAAACTTTAAAAAAAAAATCATTCCGTGTGGCATTTTGTAACCTGTCTTTATTTATCAAATTCACATACAATTTAAATGTTGGATTGATTGATTTTAACAGACCTAAAGAAGAAATTGTTCAGATGTTTTTAGAAAAGTCAGGAGTGAGAGAAAGGCCAGCTGATATTTTAAGCTTTGATCCCATATGCAAAAGTAAACTTGTGCCCAATCCTGTGATGCTTTGATGGACTGAATCCTGCCTGGCGCTGCAAGACTCTGCAGACCCCAGCTGAGCTCCTTGTGAGAGTACAAGGCCTCAGGCAGCACATCCATGCCCAGATCCCAAATGGCACCTGTGGAAATGAGCCCACCATTGTTAACAGCCGAGCCCTGGATGGACAGCAGTGTGACAAGGGCAGCATCTGTCCTACACGTGCTTTAACAGCTTCTAGTCCAAGCTTCAGCCTGTAACTACAGCTGTATCGCTGGTGCCGGATGGAAACGCCGTCCCTGCTGACAGCAACAAAAAGCCCACGCTGGATCTGGCCCCCAGCTGCGCTGGTGGGAGCAGAGCTTTGTGCCGGAGGCACTGCTATTCCAGGATCCAGAGGCCCACTAAGTGTCTTGTTGATATTCCCATTCACCAACCCTTTGCCACTAAGCTGTAAAGTCCCTTCCTCCAGCATCCAGCAGAGATTTATTTAACTGAGCCAGGGACAATACGTAGACAGACCAAAATATACTGAGAGCTGCCTTGTAAGGATTCATGGACACAGCTGTTGCTACAGCTTCTTGCTATGTAAAGTGCATGAAATAAATTGTTAAAATGACTTGAAGCTCTAAAGGAAACAGCAAGCAAGGGGGCGGGGAGTGCAGTAAACATGCAAACTCCTGCTTGAAGGCTCTTTGGTCTCATTCTTCAAAGAGGCCTTAGAAAAAAAAGAGTGGCAGGCACCCAGCCCAGCCGTCACAGGAGTCACAAATTATGCCCTGGCCATTGTAGTGGGCTGGGAAACAACGAGCATTATGTTCTGCTGGGCTCCAGTGCCTAGGACAGGGCAAAAAGAAAGTCACCAAGACCCAGAGGCAAAGCGATCCTTTTCCTTAGCAACCACCAGGAAACCATAGAAACCTCCAGCCAGACTCACCCCAGCTCTGACAGAACCCTGGGTGCACAGAACAAGAGGATTCATCCAGAAACCCGACAGCTCAATCATCAGTAGGGCACATTTCTGACCTTGCATGAGCACAGCCTCCATCAGAGACAGGGATCCACCTCGCAGCGCTCACAGGGTCCAGCTGGATGGGGAGCAGCAGCTGATGGACCACGTTAGATGTTGCCTATGGAGAACAAAATCAAGACCCTGGCTGGGAGGGATGCAGGATGGGCATGTGGCAGCTCTCATAAGGAATGACAACTTACTGTCAGGGCTCTGTAAGGCAAGTACAGCTGTGAAGGTTGCCCTTCCAGCTCCACACATCTTTATAAGGAAGAAGGGGCTATATCAGGAGCTCCTAAAGAGATGCCCATTAGAGGGGACTGTCCACACAGGAAACCTAAAGGACAATAAGGAATTGCTTACTGTGCAGGCTTTGCATAGCCAGGTCTGTACAGAGGAGTAAGAAGGCAGTGCTGCAGGTCCCGTTCAGGGTCCCGGTCCTTGAGCTTGAAGCCATAGTGACCATCACAGAGTGACAGGCTGGGACCAAGGTGGGGACGATTCCCCTTCCAGTTTTGGCTTTTTGCCGCAAGCCAGAGCTGAAATAAAACCACCTGCCCGGTGACAGAGGGGTTGACCTCAACACAGTGGCAGTGACTCAGTCTCAAGAATTCAATCCACACAATTTGACCACCTGAGGCAGAACCTGAGATAAGGTTGGGAGATAGAAGAACACAGCCTGGGGTCATGTACAGTCTGGATTTCTGTTTCTCCACAGCAGCATTGTCCAAGAGAAAAAGCACAGGCCATAGCATAGGTCCCTTCTATCCACTGGGCTTCCTGGAAAAGAGCAAGCCCAAGGAAAGGGCAAAGCTGTATGGCAAAAGGCCATTAGCTTTGGCAGACAAGTGCAATCAGAGCTAGAGCTCCTGGTGCAGAGGGTAACAGCTTGGTTCCTAGCTTTGCTGCTTCTGGTCTGACCAGGGATAAGCCACCCTGTCCCTCAGGATGTGGATTCACACCAGCACGACAGAAATATCATGCCCATGCATGGTGAAGCTGATGTGCAAGAGGGAAGGCAGCACTAGGGGTGAAAGAACACTTGGGAAAGCTCAGATTCACTCAACCTCAGCACCTCCATAGCACAGCCAGATCAGTGGTGTGACAGGCAGAGAGTGGCCCTGGTAGCAGAGGTCAGTTCTCAGAGCCCTGATGTGCACTTTCCTGCTTCACTGGACAGGCAAGAATGGGAATCAGAAGTGGCTCATTAGAACACAGCACTCACCCGAAATGACCACAGCTGGGTCTCCCTGACAAGGGCTCAGTAGAAAACAAGGGCAGCAAGAAAGAGGGGCCACAGGAATCTAATTAAGAGGCAAGGAAGCATCTTGTGCAGCAAAAACAAATTCATCTCTCATCACTGCCTCCCCTGTGGGCCAGCTAGGTCAGATCCTCACAACATCCCATGAAGGGATCCATGGCCAGCACTGGAAAACATCCCAGCCCAGACAGCCTAAGTAAACAACAGTTGTTCTGGATGCAAAGTGCAGCCTCAGGAGGTGGTACCTGATATCTCAACCACAGTCTCAGACAATGGCCTTTAGCAGAGATGTGTTCACACACCTGGAAGTGAGTGGAGCAGGAGTCCCAGAGTTCCCTGTCCGTACTCAGGTCAAATTAGCACTCATGGGACCTACATATTTTCTGTTCACCACCAGCTGAATGAGCAGTAGCCAATTCAGCTTCCAAATGGGAACACTTGTGACATGACGTAGGAACAGCCTTGATTTTTCCTCTCCAGGAGCAATTCCTAGCAGGAACTGAGCCATAGGCTCCCAGCCTGAAAAAGCACACAGCTCTCTAGTGAAAAAGGACAAAGAGCTTCCTCCAGCACTGTAGTACGAGTACCTGGCAAAGCCCAATCAGGCTGGAGCAAACCTTGGAGCACTCACAGTGGGGACACTGTTGTTTTCTCATGTGTGGGAAACCAGTTCTGTTCCCCCAGCCCATATTGCATGTTTTTCCCTGGTACCATTCATGCACCTTTTTCCAGGTACTTATTGCTGAAGGGTTACAAAGCCCAGCTCAGGTGACAGCAAATCCCAAAGCTATGAAGAAAAAGAGAAGCCCAGAGTCCCAGAGCAGGAGAGCAAAGGAATTTTCCATCTGGAAAGGGACTTGAGGCATGGAGCAGGGACTGCCAGGGGCAGCAAGACACACGCCCCTGCCTCTTGCTCCAGGACTTCTCCAAGCTTGGGCTGCTTCCCTCAGAACACAGAAAAACAAAGAGAAGGGATCACAGGGCAACTTCCAGAGGGAGCCTGCACCTGACACAAGTGTGAGTTAAAAACAAGAAGGGAATTGAATTCAGGCCCCTTCCTGTCAGTCAGCAACTAACCTTGTCAGAAGGGATGGCAGCACTAACCGAATCAGGCAATTCATTAGGTTGGGGCATGCAGAAAAAGCCCACGCTCTCTGGAGCAGAACTACAGTGAAAATCCAGGGTAATGAGTTGCAAGCTGCCTTTGTAAATGACACTTCTGCAGCAACTCTGGCAGGATGGGAAAAGAGCTAATAGGAAAATCATTAGGTAGCATCCCTTTGATATTGTTGAAAACTGCACAGGCTATGTTTCCTGCCCCCTCCATAATTAACCTGGTATATTACCCATAATACTCCAGGCTGATAGTCTCACAATGGACCACCTTATCTGCATCAGGGGAAAAGAAGGGTATGCTACTTAAAAGGAAGATGATTTCTGGAAAAGCTTAAAAGGTGTAAGATTTCCCCCCTATTGCACACGCGCATCCTCTTCAACTCCATCAGCAATCAACCTCTGCCCAACCAGGAGACCAAAACCTTGTCATAGTCAGCAGGCAGGAGTGAGGCTGCCCTGGGAAATGCAACTGCAGAGGAACTGATCTGCCCAAGGTTGCCCTCTGCAGCTGCAGCAGAGCTGGCTCTGTGCTCTGCCCCTTATTTACAATACCGTCCTTGTCCTTGACTTCCTTCACGCTACACCAGGCTACAGCCTGTGCCTCCTGAGACGCAGAAGAGCTCTGAGGAGCAATGCCTACCCACCTGGCTCGTCTGCCAGCAAGGAGAGGTGTCATCTGAGTCGTGATGTAAAAGGTACAGCATCACAGCTGGCAGGTGATCCTGAAGGAACTGGTGCCCTCTAACAGCTGCGAAGATGACAATGAAACACTGAGATGTTACTTACTGCATCAGCACAGAGCAGCCTTAGGACTGTGCTAATCGTGAGACAGTGAGTGAAACATGAGGGCTGGTGAGATAAACAGCATCTCTGGGAAGAGTCTCAAAGGTGAGAAAGCACTACTTCCAAACTTCATATCCATGAAAATACAGCCTATGGTCAGACAAGCTCCAAATACTCACAAAGAGGCTCATCCTTGAGGGAGCCAGGCTTTGCTTACCCACCACAATCAGCTCTTCTAGAAACACAGGTATCATGTGTGATTAGGGCATTTCAAAAAACACCCTAATGATACAGGTATTCCAAAGGCTCTTTGGAGATCTGGAGATGTGTAAGTGTGTCCCCTCTTCTACTAGAATTACAGCAAGCAAAGACTACTGGCACAAATTCTTTTGTGCTCTGTGGGGAAATATGTATTTCAGGACTGTTAAATGACCTTATGGCATCCCATTACTGCCTGGAATTTCCAGTATGTATGTATGCACGTTCACTAGAGCAGGGACATCTTTTCTCATCAACAAGAAAGAACTGTGGTCACAGCTACCACACTCAGGCAATTTGCAGTGGGGCATGACATGAGATGTACACACTGCACAAAGAAGCATCCATGCCTGTGGATTCATAGCCAGGGAGCAAAGTGCTGCTCTGCCCACTCCTTTGCCTGGCTGAGCAATCGGAGAGGGGAGTAGCACCATGGGGATGGTGAGAGGCAGGGTCAGGCCAGGCTAGGGGGTAAACACATACTCTCTTTACAGAGTACAATCACTTACCTCTGAGAGCTCTGCGGGAGGGCCAAACTTGAGGAACTATCACCAAAATATCAACAGTCCCTGAGACACAGACCTTCGCCATGGAGCAGAGTGAAACAGTGACATATTCCTAAAAACTCTGCCGAGAAATTCAATCAGACTGTCAGGCTAAAATTCCATATTAAGAATACAAGGTTGAAGTTACAAGTAGGAACTGAGATCTCTCTAAACTTTCATTTACCTTTCTTGATGACCCTGGGTTACTCTCTCAGATTACACAAAAATATGCCCTGCAGACTCAGGTTTTGGTTCCCTTGCATCAGGTCAGGTCTTACAGAAGACTCAGTGGGGTGGAAAAAAAACAACAGGAAACTTTGTGACCAGGTGCCCGAGATGGGGCTATCTCAATGTGTTGTATTTGTGGGGCAGGCTCTTAGATTTCTCAATTCCCCCATTATTTAGAATAATAAAGAGCAAGGTTGATTTTCTGCACTGCAGTTTGCAGCAGGTTCAGACAAAAAATAACAATTCCCAGCACCAACAACCCCATAAATGCACAAGTTTGGACTGTTTTACTGTGCAGGGGTGGGCTTTGTGTGGTTCCTACCTTAGCTGAACTCATATAAATCTGTGCAGAAGTGAAAGTTTAGGAAAAGTCTGATTTACCTATGTGATTTATGTTCTAATACAGCTATCAAAGATAATGGCACTGTTTCTTCTGTATTCCCTGCAAGGAGTAAGTACAAGTCTGCTTTGCACACACTGACCCAACACATTTTGCCCTCATAGGATAAGAACACTAAAACCAGAAACACCCTTTAGGATCTGCATCCTTTTACATTCTTTCAGGAACTGAAAGATGTTCAGCAAAATTCACTTTTTGGGGCTGGTGGGAAAATGGCCATTTCTTTCTACCACTGTCTTCTGTAAAGAACAAAAACTTCACTTTCCCCAGGTTCACTATGGAGAGCAGCTATGCAGGTCCTACTCCTGTACACAATCCACAGAGAGAGACCTGCAAGCCTGAGAGCAGCTCCACAAGCATCCACGGGATTTCCTAAGTCTGCACAAGACCAATTGCAGGACAGGTCTCAAATCTGAAGACAGAAGGGTCTGCCAGCATCACTGATTTTTCCTCCTGCTCTCAACACAAGAGTAAATTAGCATTCAACACAGCTAAGAAGGTGAGAAGGGAAGTAAAAGAAGAGATTTCAATCTGAAACTTTTTTTTCTGTTAAAAACTGACATCAGCACTGCTTTATCATGTTCCAGAATTGCCTGATGTTAGCTGGTATCAACCAAGTCTCGGCAGGAATGCCAGGGACATTTGTTAGCATGAAGCACAGCTTTAGGGCTAGGGCAGCCTACCAGCACTGCAATCAGCTGAGATCCTCTCTTCCATTTTCCAGCTCAGTGCCCAATTCCATATTAAACAAGCACTAGTACAAGTGGAGCTGCGGAACACAAAGCTAGACAATAAAGCCCTGAAGAGCAGAGGGAAGGCAGTTTCAATCCACTTTCTCTCCCTCTGGGTGGAAAAGGCAAACAAGTTCAATAGCTCAAAGTCTGTCCTGCTGCAATCTTGGAGCGAGCTGCAGCTGGAGCATCCCATCGCTGCCATAAACCAAAGCAGGGCAGGATGCTCGCCCTGCACCAGGGAGCAGCATCCAGCAGTGCTCAGACAAGCTGTGCCTCCAGCAGGCACAGGCAATCCATGGAAGTTTGCATCAAATCTGCCTCTGCTTCCACTTCCTTTTCAACCCCATAGCTCCCTGGGCACTCCCCACTTGAAACTGCCCACAATTCAGCCCGATTCACACAACGCTCCTCTGAGTTGCTGCCCTTCCTGTAGTCAGAGGGCATCAACACAGTCTTTATCTGTTGTTCTGAAACAGCACAGCACCTCCTGCATCCTTGCCTGTTAACAACCCTGCCTTCTGCTTCATTCCTGGAATAGCTTCTAACTCTTTCCTTCAAGCCAGATTCATTAACCAGCTGCTGCAGAGCTGTTTGCCTCCCCCAGGTACTCTGTGCATGTCATTTGTTAATGACTCATCTCAGCCTGGGCTTATTGCAGACATCCCCCACCTTTTGCAGTACCAAGCCCTTTGCTGGCACACCAGGAAAGCCAAAGACCCAAACAGCTCCATCCCCTCCAATACTCCAGTCCCTTCTCTGCCCTCTGTCACCATCAGACATGGGACAGCTCTTTATTCAAAGTGCTATTTCCTCCCTTGCTGCTTTGCTGATCAAAGGCAATGTGAACCAAAGTGTAAATAAGATCCTCACCCCCAGCCAGGCTTTGAGAACAGCAAAAATGGAAGAACTCAGAAACTTCCAACCACTAAAGAAGCTTCAGCAAATTAATGTGACTCCTGTAACTGGCAGGGTATAAACATCAAGGGTGCCAAACATCTATTTCCCCACACTGTGGCTTGATGAGGAGCTAAAATGATTCCCAAAAACATTTGTATTCCTCCTGCCATTTTGCAGGACTGATATTAAAAATGTAAAGAGGACCATAGAGCCTCTCCTCACTAGTCAAATCCAGTGAGGAACTGGATGACCAGCACATTACAGCTGTCCACACAGCAAGCCAGAAAAGAGATCCAGTCCATCACACAGACTTGGGGACACAAGGTCCACCAGCATTTTCCTGAGAAGCTGTCAGCTGAACACTGGGAGAAGCTGAAACAGGAGCTAATACTGCCACTGCTTGGGAAACAGTTCCCTTGAGTTAGTGGTGAAGGCTTTGTGCTCTGAGCTTATCCACTTAACATCCTTGTTGCATTTCAAGGGGGAGAGAGAGCTGGTAAAGAATCAGAAGCCTGACCACAATCAGAAATTTCTGGGACTTGACCCACAGGAAACTGGAGGGAGGGTATTTAGATCTTCCTCTCCAGTTTAAAAGCTGGTGTGCCTGCACTGCAGGAGAAGAAAAGGAGAGGGATTTACTTTCACAAGTGAGCAAGTCCTGTGACTGAGGACTGCAAACACGCAGATGGCAAAGAGTCCTGGTAGCAGTAAGAGGAAGGCACGTGCGTTGCACAAGCAAATGCAGGTGACAGCTGGCTGCAGGACTGGAGCACTGTCACAGTCCTCTGCCTAAAGAGCTCCCCTGCCTGCTCAGGGAAAGAGCTTCTCTTGAGAGAAGTGAAATGCAGGGGCCAAAGTACAAAGCAGCACTCTGCTAGACGCAAAGGAAGGAGCTGACTGGCCTAGGAGCACAACTACAGACTTTCTACAACCAGGCATCAAAGCTGTTTAGGCTCACGATACGGGGCTCAGCTACCAGCTTTGCCACGGATCCCTCTACACGAATCTGGACAAAGATGAACTACTGACAAAACATGAAGAGGCTTCCCTGTCTCCCAGATGCATCAGAAAGATCAGTCAGATCTTCAGTCAACTTACACCACAAATCAAATAAATGCGCAAGTGAACAAGTGCCATTGGACAACAAGCCTAAAACAGCCTCGAAGTCAAGACTCCAGACTCTGAGATTAAATCAGCATTTTTAATTTTTTTTCTAAAATGTGCTTTTTTTATGAATTACTGTTCCAATGCTTCCCCCTTAAAAAAAAACCCCACACCCTGCCAAACTAGGTGCAAATCACCTGAAGTAAGGTTGTAACAAATAAAAAAAATAACCCATGAAACAAAGGCTGAAATGCTTTAGAATCACAACAATGTACAAAAAAAAAAAAAAAAAAAGGAGGAAAATACAACCTGAAAGTGTTCAAAATTCAGAAAGACTAGTCAAGTCCATTGCTTCAGCAAGGGGATGCTGCTGCGACCCCTGCCAGTGGGTCCTGGGCCACCAGCCTGCCTCGATGCCAAACAGGCTCCTCTCCCACTGTCGCCAGCATCCAAGGAAGAGTGAATGCATTACCCTTTAAAGGTATCAATGGGGGAAACAACTCACAAGCAGCTCTGGGAGGTCACATCACATTCAGGAGGAATAGTTTCTAGCATGCCCCTAACCACCTGCGAGGTCTGTGTGGAAGAGCAGCCTTCTTCCTCCGTATTGTACTGATGCCTCAGAGATGCAGAACAGTGCTTTAAATCTGTGAGAGATTAAAGGGCTTAGTAAGGGCAGTAAACAGACAGTTAAGTAAACAGCCCAGCACTGGAACTCATCTTCACAGAGAGAGGTAGTGTGAATTTCACCCCAGTTTAAAATAGACAGGGGTAGCGGAAAGGCTGAAGACTTCCATGTAAAGCAGTTCCTGACCTAGAAAACCTTCCTGCGCTCCCTTTGGGAATGAAAAGATCTGTGTTGATGGCTTCCTCGCTCCCAGCCTGGCTTTGGTAGCCACACTTCAACCCTGGGATTCAGATGCTTGCTATAGAAGTTCTCCCATGATCTGATTTAGTACAGCAGCTTCCTCAAGGTTAAGCAGCAATGAACTAGCTGGGAGGGAGCAAAACAGTCAACAGATATTTTGGTTTTTTCATGCCCCTTTTGGTTAGTCCCTTTCTTTAAAAGTCCCTCTTGACAGGACTAGAACAGAGACACCCTGAAAACTCATAGGAGCTGCACAGTGTAACTTAGCCAGGTGCTGCTAATTGGGAGCTGTTCAAACAGGGCTTTTACTTGCCAGCCGGGAAGGGACTGGCCCAGAACCCACTGAAAAAGGAGACACAGGCCCGTTTTGCTCCTCCTGTTGTCACTCCTAACCAGCTGACATTTAGATGGTACGTTCTAGTGACGGCTGGAGACCAGCCCTTTGACTTTGGACATCTTCTTTGTGGGCTGCCTTTGTTCTGTGTGTGGAGGGCACTCTCGCTCTACCAGCTGCTGTTCCATCTCCTGTGCCGACGACGAGGCTGTAGCTTTTAATGTTTTCTTTATGTTTGTGACCTGGCCAAGAAGAGACAGTGAATCAGCACCTGCTTCTTCCTCCCCTCATCACAGACATTCTGTTCATAAACATATTGAAAAACCCCTGGAGTATAAGAGTGCAGATTATAAAAGAGACTCTCCCAGCAGTAACACACTCTGCACTGGAGTTTAATAAGGTAATGTTTCATCCTCATTTACAGACAGAGCTGATAGTATTTCCGTCTGGAATAATTAGGGATTACTTTTTTTCCCAAGAGACAATGGTACAATATTGTACCACCCATCTGGCTGGCTGGAGAGACCTACTACTGCCTTGGTGCAGAAGGGAGCCATCCTACCATTCTGTTGCCCCAAAGCATGAAGGGGAAAGGAGACAGTGAAAGAAAAATTTATTCTCAGGACATGACTCAAAAAGAGAAAATGCCATTTGGCCTAGCTGACTACCTGAGACATAGGTATTTGCTAAAAAGCAGGAACAGAAATTGGTTTTGTGAGAAGCAGCAGCAATGTTTCTGCTACTCTGGCTGAAAAGGAGAGATACAGCACTAAGCATCATCTTCTGTCCCCTGGAACTCTGTAGGGTTCACTACAAAAACTGTGAGCAAACCTTCAAAAAGCCCCAAGATTTGGGAGTAAGGTGTACCACTGCAAGCCAAAAGCATCTAGCAAAACAAATATGCTGTGGATGCCGATCAAGCCACCAAGCAGACGCAAACATAAACCTGCAGGGATGATAATCTCTGACGCAGTGTCTCGGGAGGCCCATCCCCACCTTCCCAGCGGCCGGAGCCGAGGTTCGGGCGCAGGGCCGGGCTGGAGCGCGGGCTCGTGCTGCCACCTAACGGCGGGAGCGAGCCAGGGCCCGGCCCGACTCGGGGGAGCTGCCGCGGGCACTTTTTGCAAAAGCAATTGAGACTCCAGAGATTTTTAACTACATTTCCAGGTTTAACAAAAAGTGGTTTTGACTTCCTGCCTGCCTTGTGCGAAGGGAACAGAGTTGCAATGAAGATCTGTGGTAAAAGCCGTTTTCCTAATGAATCAATACAGGAAACCAGAATTAGTGCAGTCTCCTAGCCTAAATTTACCAAGGAAATTACCAAGGAAAGTTCCATTCTCCTGGATGTTTGATATTTGTGGTCTTACTAGCACTCACAAGCAGATGTGTTTTCTTTCTACCCCACACCTGATTTGCATGATTGCTAGCCACCTTCTGAGAGCTGTGACCATCAACCAGGCATTACCAGATTATTTCCTTCAGCAAACAAACATTTATCCAACAGCACAAAGGCCTGAGATGACTCTGTACCCACCTCCATCTCTACCTGCTGCTGAGTTCGGTGGTGGTTCTCTTTGTACTGGTTGGCTCTAAGTACTTGCTGCTCAATTCCTAAAAGAACTGCTTCACAGCCATCACACCTGCAAGATACAAATGATGTCAAACAGTGTTTACAAGTTCTCTCTGGAGCAGCTCAATCAGGCAATCTGAAAAGTCACACTCATCTAAAAGTTTAAGAGATTATTAAATTTATACTTCCTGCTTAGAGTTGCAAAAGGCTGGCAAGAAAAAGCTTTGCTGTGTATTTGATGCATTTCTCAGCATTCTCTAGGGAGTCTGTGTTACTCTTACCATCAAAGAGTAAGTGCAGGTTCAATGCACTTTCATCTTCCTTCTCAGTCAGAATGACAGCTTAAACAGGATGCGACACAGTATTCAAATGTAAAATTTTAAAATTAAAGAAGAAAAGTAATATTGAGATAATCCTCCTGCCTGTTAAGTGTCCAACGACAAGAGCACTCAGCACGGAATCAGAACTGGAGAAGACAAAAAGGGAATTGGCAGTGGGTTCACTGTTACCTTCCAAACAATGCTACAAAGTCCTGGAAGCTGCCAGAGCCCTCCCACCCTGATGGGACTGAGGGAGCTGGAGCAGAGAAGCAAAAAAACCTGCCCCCACTACAGGACAGCATATTTGCCCAGCAGTTTAATTACTTTTCATGCACTCGTTACCACAGCAACTAGGAAGCAATTCCCAGTCAGCTCAGGACCTGCCATGGGCTCCACAGTCCATGGGGGAATTTCTTTAGGTGGGAAGGGAAGAGAAGAGAAACAGAAGGGAAAAGGTGAGAAACAGCTTCCTGGCAAAGGTACAAAGAGATAATACCACAGCACCACTATAGCTGCAGACAGGCTACATTTGCAGGAATAAAGAAGAAGACAAAGTTCCCTGAAACTTCAAACTTGAGGAGACATCCCATCCAAAGAGCTGTGATTCTCTGGAATTTGTCCACACAATTCTCAACACAGTGGAAAAGGCTGAAAAGTAACAGGTCTGTCTTCATTATCAAGGGTTGAAGCACAAAGGGAAACAACTCCCCCCACAGAACCACGAGTTCAGTTTAGCACCCCTTTCTGCAAAGTCCTCGACTTCTCACTGTGGTTCTACCACTGTAAAAGCTACAGTGAGAGCAGAAGCTCACAGTGTGGTATAGTTTGGCTTGATACATAATACAAATTGAATCCCAGATGGGATCTTGGAAAACTTGCCCAACAGACTCCTCCTCCAAGTGCCTACTTATAGTATAAGACTCCTGATTAATGGAACATGGTGAAATCGAGCCAGCACTTGAAACTCTGGGGGGAAAAACAGGACAAGCTATGTACAAGGAACAAAGAGGGCGGAGAGATTGCCTCACCATTCCTGGAGTGTTTTGACAATGTTACTGATGTCCTTCCTCTGAATGTCTCTGCCGATACAAAAATCCACCTCTAACACCTGGTTTCGTTGATCCAGCTTCCCTTGGATAATGTCTGTGTAAACCGCTTCAATAATGAGATCTTCCAGCTCCCTCAGATTCCTCATATCCAGGTCCTTCAGCAACACAGAATAGGGAATGCACTAAAAACAGCAAGACCAAGAGTAAGTTAACAGTCCTGGAGCCAAAATGAATGGCTAAGTCTCAGAAGGTCGAGACTCAAATGTTTATTGTATCCTACACTTTGATCTGCAGGTGCAGCAGTGACTGATCATGGCAGAACAAATGCTTGCCAGGCTATGAAATATTCTGACACAACTTTGGTAATTCCTGAAGCTTTGGTATAGCACATTCTAGAAGAAAAAAGGTAAATGCATTGTAGAAGAAATCAAGAGTGTTGCTTCATTTTCTGTAGAACAAAAAGTCAGTGTTTTTAAGAATGATTCTTCATCTCCAGCAGTGAAAAAGCCATACAGTTTCCCAGACCTTCCTGACCAATCTGCACATCAGTTCAGGCACCCCCACACTTCACCCACCAAAGTCCACTAAATTAATATCCCAAATGCACCAGGAAAGAACACTGTACCCTACAGGTACTTTCCCAGTACGGGATTTCTTTTGTGAGTACTCATGCAGTCTGACACAACTGCATTGCTCTGGAATGGATGCCATTTTCTGAAACAAAACCAAGAGACAACGGCTGTCACACCCCACGCACTTTACCTTCATTCGGGAAGCCAGGCTTACGATCGTCAAGTGTTTCAGCTTGTTTTTCTGAGTCACTGTTAATTCAGGCAGGTTATCTTTGTTTGCTGTTAATGTCAAAAAGACAGGATTCAGGACTTTACTTTGAAAATGACATAATCCAGCCTGCAGAACTTCAAGCTAATTATGCTACACTACACCCTGAAAGACTGAACACCTCCAGCTAATGTGGGTGCTAGCTGGTGAACAGAGTGCACTTCTGCTGCTGCTGCTGGCAAACTGGCACACCCAAGGAGAGAAGGGGGAAAGTTAATAACAACTCGGCAATTCCATTCTTCTCTGCTTCTTTAGTAATTCTGGCTCAGAAATTAGAAGGTAATTCACAAGTGGTGCCCTGATGAAATAGCTGGTCAATGGCTTTGCTTCTACCAAGTAGTTTTTATTTCATTAACAAGCTGACAGAAAAAAGTCTTCCCCTTTCACTGATCTGGTTGCAAATACAGCTGGTTTTATTTTTCTGAAGAGCTGCAGAATTTAAAGTGTAAAGTACCAGGCTGAGGAAGAGAGGAGAAATTATTAATCTAGATGGCCACACTGTCATTGTATTATATCCAAGTGCCTCATGAATATTTAAAAAGAAAGGAAACTGGCAGCTCTCCAAAGCTAAAAATCTCTTTAAAATATCTACTTTAATAGAAATTAATGTTTCATAGCCACTCAAATTCTTCCATCCATCCCATCTCATCCAATGCTCTACATTTTGACTGTTTTTGCCCCTTTCTTCACTAGAAAGGGAAGAATGAACTGTACTGTCACATGCTGTGACACAAGAGCCATGGACAGCAAACACATCCTCTAATCAGTCACAGAATTCACGAGGCTCATGTTGCTCCACAGACACTGGAATTTCCAGTCCTTGCACTTACAGATGCCACTGCTCCTTACAGGAACTAGATAGCTCATCCACCACCCTGAGAACCAGCACTATGACAGAATTATTTGTCACACTCTATAATCGTCTAGATGAGGCTGCTACCCACAAATGAAGCATTAAATTGTAGCACAATGGAAGCATAAGCACCAGAGATAAAAGCACATTTCAACAGATACAAAGATGATTCACACACAGTCTTTCCAAAGCTGTATAAAAGTAATTATTTTGACTTGTATTCTAGCTAAGAAATTATTCATTTTGTTTCAGCAATGCCGTTATGGAATAAAATGTTATCTCACAAACCATATAGGTTTTTATAAATAATGCAGAATAATTTTGTCTAAGTTTTCTGCAGTTTCCATAACTGGTGTCATCTAAATTTCCACAGAGATATCTGAAATTTCCCTCTACATAGGTAAGTGGCCTGTGAACATCAATGAATTCTTCTGCAGACCAATTCAACCCAGAACTGCAGTCCCATCCAAACCAGTAGCACACCATAGTCTCTAACCCTTCCTTTCATTTTTAGCAAGTAAAAAGCACACATGACTCAGACCTCCTTATGGACAATTCTGCTAAGCAAGTTCTGTTCCTGGATGCTCTCACCCAGCCACACTACACCAGGCATCTAAGAAAGCAAAGAATTGCCTCTGACAATCCTAAAGGTCATCCCAGCCCCACATCTGCAAACAGGCAGCAATCTCTTACCTACATAGTCCCGGTACGTTCCATATGCAAACAGGTTCAGCAGCTGGAAATAAGCAGCATTAGACCCCTCAGCAAGCTGGATGGGGAGAAAAGAAATGTCACAGAACATGGGCAACACAACCCTGATAGGCACCTTCTCCAGAGAATGGTTTACATCTGCACAGGACAAGCAGCACCCAGAAAAGCAATTATATCCCAAGCTGGACCCTTTCTAAGGCCTTAGGAGCAGGAAATTTCAGCAGTTTTAGAGTCAAGATGATCCAGCCATTTCTTTGCACTGGATCTTAACTTCAGTTTGGACTGTCAACTGCTTTGTGTGACATCTTGAGAGATAAAAGAAAAAAGCAAACCTACAGGGCCAGCTCTTCTCATCAGGTGATAAGCAGGCAATGGTGATGGCTGGTAAGGATCCTGTGAAAGCTAGGACAGCTTACCTGCAGAGCCAACACAGCTTCAAAGCAAAGCAAGCTGGGACACTGTAACTGGAGTGCATTTGAAGGTAACAGCTCTTTGCTTGCCTGCAAACACTTCACTGGAATAACAGCAGCACCAAGCAGTGATTGTTATTGATTGTGTTTTAACACCATTAGCTGCACACAAATCCAGGCAAAAACCAGTACTTGTGAATTGATGCTAAATAACCATTGAGGTGCTTTTATGCATATTTAAGAGCATATTTGGAAAGCCAAACTTGCTGTATTACTCCAGCTGCACATACCCAACTTAGATTCCTGCATTGTAGTAGAGGCAGGGGCTGGCAAAGCATTCTCAGCAAAAGATCTGGAGCTTGCTTTCCACCTTGGTTTGAAGTGGTTTGGATTTGGTTACCACCCAGGCCTGATACACTAGACATCTGTTCACAAAGACTTTTGGAGAGCACTGAAGTTCTGCTTTCCAGGACAGTAAAGAAGTAGAAAGGGATTTTTTTCTTGTTGGCTGGCAAAGTGCCTTCTTAAAACTGCTACTGTGCTGCTGCCAGGTTTTTGCTAGGTTTTTTGCGTTAGCAATTGCCTTAAGGTAGCAAAGCTTTATATAGGTATTCTTTAACACCAAGCATATACAGGCAAAAGCAAAGTCAATCTCTTATTCAAAAACATTTCACAACCCAGGTAAGTTGCACCAGGCCCTCCTGGCACAGAAATTTCACCCACAGGCTGCCTGTGGAAACTTCTGGGGATCCTTTATACTGCTAGTGCAGAAGGGGCATTAGAATAAGAACTCAACTCTTACCTCTTTCACATTTGTTAACTCCAACAGCTCTCCGAAGACATAAACCCCAGGAGCTTCCAGCACTTGATTTATAAGAGCAGTCAGAGCTGAGCCACTTGTTCCTTTGGCTAGTAAAATGAACTGCTCTAGAAGATTGCAGGACGGCTTCTGTTCTCCTGCCATTCTAGGTTTTCAATCTGTCAATAAAAGAACATAATATTAACACACCCTTTCTCCTCTGCCGAGTTCTGCCTGGCAGGGGACCAGGAGGTGCTCAGCATAGCAACATTTCAGCGTCAACACAGCCAGGCTTTTCTTCAGCATTCAGGGGCCAGGCCAGAAACCCAGCAGGTTCAACTGCTGATTTAGCTGGGGAGCAAGAATGACTCCCACAATTTCTAAGCAAAATTTCTGTCTGATCAGTCCCCTAAAAGGATCTGCTCTTGCAGATCCCCTCTTATTGGACAGGAGTTTAGATTTCATGCTGTTTTCAGAGTTTTCCTTCTAGTGTGATGCTGCCAAATAATGCCAACTGTAAAGATGCTTTTTGATACACTTGACTGACTTCCTCCTTCCTCATTACACAGCTCCAAACTGTGTTTGCATCTAACGTAATTCCCTATGAAAGACTGATGTGCACTCTATGCCCACACATCCCACCTTTTCCTTTGACTCTGGCTATTGATACAGTGTGTATCTGTAACTCCCCTTGCTTCCTGAGCCCAAAAGGCAAAAAGAACTGCAGCCTGTAAGCAGCTCCCCAGTCTGCACTGTACAGTTCAAGTGCTTTGGGTTAACTGGAAAGCTTAAGTGATAAAAAATACCCTTTCTACAAAGGCTCTATTTAAGTTCCTGTAAAGAGAGGTCTTTGTCTTTGTCTGCTGCCTGACATTTCTGGTGTGCATGCTGTCTCCCAGCACCAACATGTGCTTTTGAAATGTAAACCACTGTTTATTAACAAGTTCTACAAAATGAGCTGTTTGTTTACAAACAACTAAGACAAAACTTCCAAAGCACGTTATTCAGAAACCAAACAAAGAACTTGGCAGATAAGGGAGGTTTTGTATTATGCTTGTATGGGATAATTATCAAGCAGAGGGTATAACCTTGATGAAAACCAAACACCAGAGAATCTGTCTGGTTCTGTGTGACCCACATGGGCTGGGCCCACATCCACCCACAGGGGCTTCGCTGTTTCACCGGGCCTAACCAAATTAAGGCTTGTGAAGGCATCACAGACAGCTTCCTGTATTAGTCAATGTTAAGAGTAATTATAAGATTGTTAGCCATATTACAGTTACTGTTTGTAAACCCCTTAGCTTGTACCCCTGTCCCAAGTTGCTGTACCCTGTGTTTATGGTTCCTTGTTCAGCCAGGCCCTGCCCCCACTGCTCCTAGACTCCCACATGGCAACATTGTACCCCTGCCCCAAGTTGCTGTACCCTGTTCAGCTGGGCCCTGAGGAGGAGGATGACATAAGGACTTTTATGTAAACGAGAGAAACCAGAGACTCATGGGATGCACACAGACTGATAAAAACCCAGAGACAACGAGCCACACTAAAAGGAAGAAATAAAAACAGCACCATCGAAGGAGGAAGACCCAGAGGAGTCCCCTGCCTTCCCTCCAAGAGCCGACATAACCTAGAGGGGACTCAATTAGGATGACACCCCAGACTACATGGCCAAAAAATGCTGAGTCTGCAGTGTGGCACAGCCTATCTTCTCCTCCTTCGTGTGGAAACTGAGAGCAATGGTGGTGTGCGTGACCCCTTGGGCCCCCATACAAGTTGAGTCTTATAATAAAGGCATTAAAAGGAGCTCTAGTCCGGCCCACTGTTCTGTTACACCTGCAGGTACAAATGGTTTCATCTGGAGCGGGCAACCTTTAACACTCTCCACACAGAGATATCTCAGCCCTTGAAGTCTTTTTGGGGTTCTTTCCAGCAGAGGCACACATGCGGCCTTGGCTGAACAGCACCTCGGTTCTGACTGAGAAATCCCTGCACTACAGAACATTAAGTGTGGCTGCCTAACACATCGGTGTTGCTCTCTCTGCTCACAGAGAGGACAATTTCCTCAGGAGAGAATACGGATTGACTGTGCTGGGAATGAGATTCAGACTTCACAGTTCTATTGTCCTCCCTCACAGGTAATCAAACCACACGCTGGTGTATGAGATTACAAAAGACTGGCTGGCTGTATCCATGCCCTGGTGGGAAAGGGATGCCAGCTGTCTGCCCTTTCCAAGTAAACGCTCGGACAATTGCTATTACAATCCGTGTGCACACCCGTATCACCGGGAATACCTCGCTGCTTCCACAACCGACTTACCCCGGTGAGAAGTGACTGAAATAGAGCAGACACTCCAACGTAGCTTGTCCAAAGGCTGCAACAACCCAAGTAGGGGGACAAGCCGGGCTTCTCTCGCGGTCAGGCCTTTCTAAGGTAGCTCAGGGAGTTTCAGGGCGGGAAGCGGCCCGCAGACCCTGCAGCAGCAAGGCGGGGGTTTCCCGGCCCTCCGTTTCCCCCCAGACCCCTGGCAGAGCCCTCGGGCTCCACCGAGCCCTGCTGCAGGGGGTAATTTACTGGGGGTCCCTCGTCGCTGCCCCTGTTCCCGGGAGGCTTCTCCCAGCCCCGGCATTACCTCTCCGCTCCTGGCCTCCCGTCCGGCCGCTCCCGGCGCCGAACCCGCCGCGCCTCAGGCCGCCATGATGGCGGCGCCGGTGTCCGCACGCGGCTCCTTCCCCCCCGGAACGCGCGGGCCCCGCCGAACGTTCCGCCCGGTCCCGGGCGGCCGCAAGGACCGGGAACCGCGAGCCGGCATCCCTGGGATACCGGGATGGGAACGGTGGGCTGGGCGTGCTGACACCTACAGAGCCATGGTGCAGCAGCCCATGGAGCAAATTTCACTTGCTTGTGCTGCAACAGCTGCTCCGCTGGGTCCCGAACAGCTGTTTCAGTAAAAGCAAATAAAATTCCTGCCTCTCTTTTTAGGGATACGAGGTCCTGTTGCAGCATCACAGGGCTTTGCACCCCAAAATAACCCGTGCAAAGGGCTGCTGTTGTAAGGCCACTTCTTTATTAGAAGTGGGGCCATTATTAGACTGAATGGTTGCACGGGGCACTGGAACAGACTCCCCAGGGAAATAATCACGGAGGGGGGGGGGGCAAGCCTGGCAGAACTCAAGAAGTATTTGGACAACACTCTCAGGCACACGGTGGGATTCTTGGGGCTGTCCTGGCACGGACAGGAGTTAGGCTCAATGATCCTTGTGAGTCCCTTCCCTTCAGGATATTATATATGATTCTACCAGCTGAGCCAGGAGGCCAATCCTCCTGGGAAATACCAAGAGATGGAGAGAAGGTAGAACTGATTTTAAACTCCATAGAGAAATGGTCCATACAAACAATGAGCCAAAGGGCAGAGCTCTGGGTGTGACATGGGGGAGCAGGGAGGGTACTTGAAGGGTCCCAGGGCATAGGTCAGGAGTCAAAAGACATTTGAAGGGGTATCAGAACAAGGGTGGAAACAAGAGGGAATTGGGGGTTGTTAACTTCCCCAAGGTTTGTAGGCTCATCCGTGCCATGTTGTGAATAAAATGTTCCTCTGTTAAAAATCCTTCAGCTGAGAGCAAAGTGCTTCTGACTTTCAGTCAGCAAAGTCCCTGAAGACCAAATCATGGACCAGCATGGTCAGGAGGGAGGAGCTTTCAAGGAATGAACATCAGAAACTATTAGGGAAACTGATGGGGCTTAGCCTGAGTCTCAGAGCCATCTACAGCAGGTCCCTAGGGTCCCATCATCCATCTGAGAAGGGGGTGCCAGACAAGTGCAGAGCTGCAGGTGTTGGAATGCTGTTGTGACACTTTGGGCTTCAAAGCAAATTGGATGTAAAAAGCCAGGCTCTGCACAACAAGGGAACTCAGCCAGGGCTATAACAAGCCAGTCAGTAATTTACTTAAGCCACACTTAGCTCTCATTTGCACAGGGAGGGAGAATTACCTCTTTAATCACATCCTAACCAGGCCCTTCCCCACGGTTCCTGTCATCCTGCAGACATGTTGCTGGAACAGTTGCCTTGGACAAGCAGTGTGTGGCCTCCTTTTTCCCAACACTTGCTAAAGCTTGAATTCCAGGCTGAAATAAAAATGGAAATATATGATTTCAAGCTATTTTCCATGGATTGGTTTTGCAATCTTTTGCTAGAACCTGTGGTTAAAAATCATCTGTTATCCCCATGTAAGTCAGCCAGGAGTCCCTGTCCTGATACCTCCCAACTGTTGACAGCCAGCCTGGCTGGCTGACCTGGACATTGGAGGACAGCGTCAGCTAAGCTCAGCTTTTGAGATGGATTTTTTTTTTTTTTAAGAGGAAAAATATGTGGCTGTCCAGCTGTCTCATTGCCTTTAAACAGCTATTTCAACCTCTTGCTCCACCCACGCAGCTCTCTGTGTGCCAGGAGATGTTAATCCATTTTATCTTTTAATGTTGGCATTATCTCTTGACTTACCCCACCTCTTCCCCTTGTGATTCTGCAATCCAGGTCCCTTTTAGGCAGCACATAATTCGCCTTATGTCCCCTTATTTCCCTGCACTGCCACAGTAATGTCCCCAAGCAGTGGGGTCCTGGACCCCCAGACTTTGAGGACACCTGACCTCACCAAGGAGAGGGCCAACATTGAAAATACTTTTGTTTCTTATCTTTCATTACTCACCTATGTGTGCTTCCACAACCCTTCATCCTTATTCCCTGCAGCTGCCAGCACACACCTCCGGAGCTCGGTGGAGGGGAGCTCCCAGGCCCTACTGAAAAGTTTCCAAACTCTGTATTTCCCAGGACCCAGGGACTAAGCTGCTTGCTGGACTCTCATCTCAGCCAGGCAAGGAGTGATGTCTGGGTGGTTGTATATGTGAAGTTGTACAACCTCTTCCATCAAGTGTGGGGTGGGATGAAGCCCCAGTTTACTAAACTATCTCCCAGTTATGCTGCTCTGCAGAAACACCAGCTCCTTTACCTGCACCTTGAGAGAACAGCTGCTGGAGAAGCAGAAAGCAGGCTAGAGGCACCATCTCACCTGCAGTGGTATCTCAGAAGCAAGTGCCAGAGATGTGAAGGAAAAGTTTTCGGTTCCAAGTGGCACCAAAAGATAGAGGCATTTGCAGCAACTTCCTTGCAAGCAGATTTTTAAGATGATATCTCAAGAGTGCTGTTTGTGTCAATGCAGCCCAAGGACTTTGAGGGATCCCAGGGGTTTTGTCACTCTGAATTGTGCTGTCACATGTTCTACTGCTGCTTGGCCCTGCACAGGTCACACAAGCTTCACACCTCAGCTATGAGCTCTTCTGTGATTTTGAAAAGTTCATAAATGAGAGGCCTGTGCCTCCCTGCACAGCAAGGCAAATTTGGGGATTCTGAGACTTGGTCAGGAAATGCAAAGGCTCCAACTCAAAACTCCACAAACATCCCTACCCCTGTGCTAGAGAAGTGCTTCAAAGCTGCAAGAGTTCCTTTCCATGAGATCCATTTGGTCTCTGGCTCCTTCATCTCTGAGGAGCCTGAACAGAGACAGAATAGAGCTCCTCATGACTTCTGTAAACCAGTATGTCCTACTTCCATCTGGCAGGCTCATCCCTATATACAACCATTTGTTTCTGCCTTTTTCTTTTGTCTGCTTTTGTCTTGCTTGCCTTTTCTCCTCATCAGTCTTTTTTCCTTGGTGATCTTTAGTCCCTCCTCCTTAGACAGCATGCAATTCCACAGCACAGCTAAAATCCAGGATGGACTCTTAATAAAACACAAATAAGTATTTGCACAGCTGACTGTGGCACTCTGCCCAGACTCAAAATGACCCCTTCATATACTTAAGCTGATGGTGGGAAATTGAGCATGGATCACATACATCAGGGAAATAAATGCTGCCTATTTTTATTATTAAGATCTCTTATTGGTGATACTGGCAGTGGCCTTGTCCTTATGCATTAAATGCAGCCTTTATTAACGCTCACATTCTCCACTTCTGTACAGTGGCTGATTTGGAAGCAAGTGGAGCCATGAGTGAGTGTACTGATGGCACCCTGACTGTTCACTGGTCCTCTTTTGAGAACTGCTGGCTTTATTTTTACCATGACTTAATGCTTTTATCAGTAGCCTTCAGATTGTTAACAGAGGAGTTAATTTCCTCATGTTAAAGAGCAGCCTGGCTCCCGGGACATGCCAACAAACCTGCGAGTTTCCCCCGCCACAATCAACTCTGCTACGCAAACAGAAAGGCCATGAAGATGATTAGAGGGTAGTACACCTCTCCTATGAGGAAAGGCTGAAAGAATTTGCATTGTTCAGCCTGAAGAAGAGAAGGTTCCAGGGTGACCTTATTCAGGCCTTTCTGTACCTGAAGGCATCCTACAAGAAAGCTGTGGAGAAACTTTTTACAAGGAGATAGAGCTCTAGTGATAGAAGGCGAGTGGCTCCAAAATGACAGAAGACAGATTTAGATTAGGTATAAGGATGAAATTATTTACTGTGAGGGTGGTGAGGCACTGACATAGATTGCCCAACAAAGCTGTGGATGCTCTATCCCTGATGTGTTCACGGCCAGTCTGGATGGTCTTTAAGTCCCTTTCAACTCAAACTGCCCTGTGATTCAAGTTTCTGCAGCACAAAGAAGGCTGCCTTTGTTCCAGGGGATAGCACGCTATTTATTTTAAACCTCCACAATGCTGGTCCTGTTGGCTCCGGCCTCGGTACACGTAGAATCACAGAACTGTCAGGTTTGGGAGGGACCTCCGGCGATCATCCAGTCCAACCCCCTACCAAGACAGTGTCATCTGGAGCAGACAACACACAACTCGTCCGAGTGGACTTTGCAGGTCTCCAGCAGAAGCCGCTCTGGGTCTGAGCACCCAGGTCCCCAGCACCACCCTAGTTCAAGGCTGGAGCTCCGCCGCGCAGCCCCAGAGACGAAACCTTGGGACACCCACTGCCGGGGGGGAAGCGCCTGCCGAGCTCCAGCGGCTCGGGGCCGTTCGGCCGCCGCCCGGCGGGCGCTGACCGGGCCCGGGGCGGCTTCTCGCCCCCTGAAGTGCTCCCCACTGAGGCCTCCCGGGCCCGGGAACCGCCCGCTCCCTCTGCCCGGTCATCCTGCGGCGCCTCCATCGCAGCCACGTCAGGCCCAACCGAAAAGTCTCGGCGACCGCTGCGCACCCACCCTTGAATGAGGAGAGCGCTGTCTGATTGGTCAGTAGCGCTGTCATTCCTAAGCCAAAAGGCGGGGCGAGGAGGGGACAGCAGTAGCTTATTGGTCAGTACGGCGCCGGGCGGCCGCCGGGGTTGGTTGCGCCGGGCAGTGGCGGGTGCGCGGGAGGGAGGGGCGGGGGGTCCTGAGGCTCCGCTGTCACCGCCGCGCTCCCGCCAGGCCCGGCCCGGCCCAGCCCCGTCCGCCCGCCAGCGGCGCGGCAGGACCATGTCGGCCACGGACGAGCGGGCCAAGGAGATCCTCCGCGGCTTCAAGCTGTATCCTCCGTGCGGGGGCCCTGAGGCTGCGCGGGGGGCGCGGGGATCGCCGCCCCGCTGTGGCGAGGCCCCTGGGGCGGGAGGGGGGTTGCTATGGCAACGCGGTTCTCAAT